GCCCTGAGCAACCTGCACTAGCTGATTCTTATTTGAGGAGGAGTGTTGGACTGAATGACCTCCAGAGATATTTTCCGACCAAACTATTCTGTTTCTGTATCCTAATGACTCTCAAATGGAACTAGATGCCTGTGTATGGTCAATTAAACCACTGTTTTTACTTGGAGATTTTAATTTTTACTCCCAGCATTCATCCTAATTATTCTGACTTAAAAACATACTAAAAAATAATAAAAGTTAAAAAAATGTATCTTGAAATACCACTAAGTTTTAGGAAAAAAAAATGGATTGATATTTTATAACCATTTGCTGTAAGTAACCATGTGCTCAGGATATAGGAGCCTGTAATGGTTTTATGGATGGTGCAGAGGAAAACTTGAGTGAAGTGGTACAGAGCCTCCCTTCAGACTGGCAAAGATGGTTCTTTGCATATGTCTTCTGACAGTAAGGTCTGTATTCCTAGCTCGGAACCAATATAATGTATTTCTTGGGCAGAAGATAAAAGTGCTTGGGGGTATTTTTTGCAACGGAAACCAACGCCTGGCTATAAAGTTTTCAGTGTCCCAGTTGAAGGAACTCTCCACTGATGCAGAAATTAAGTGTGCTGCATGTCACATTAAATTAGAAAAGTTTTCTGAAGGTGTTCATATGTATAGCATTGTCTCACATTTTACCGTTTTATTCATCATTCAGTTGTGGTGGTGTACAAATTCTTCAGTTAATTTAGTGCATATTCATTCAGGGTTTGTATCACTTCATAAGTGGTAAACTAAATCCAAGGCTGTCAATATTTATTGCATATTTTAGAATGACTTTTGTTACAAGTAGTAAGAATATGATCTGCTTCATTATTATGAAATGTGCTTTAATTATTAATTTCTACCGTGTTGTTCACTTAACGCTTTTGGGTGTCGTAAAAGCCCTTGTACATTTCAGAAAAATATCCCATTCTGAGATGATGACATGTTCTATGTTTTGAAGTTATTTTATAATGAGAACAAATGTCGACTTCACAGATTTGAATAATTGCAGAGTAGCCGTCTAACATTAATTGTTTATATCGTGTAAAAGAGCAAAGAGACCATAACTGTTTAGCTTGTGTTTATAAAAATTAGGATTTTAGAGGTATTTCAGCCTTTAGGTAAGGATACTTTTAATTTAAATTTCTGAAGTCCAAAAATTCAATTATTTGATCGCAGAACTTATTTTTTGAAAGCTTTTTATTTCCACTTGTTCATGCAATTTGGTTACTAGAGCTACTATTACTTTGAGAGAGTATCTTTCCTAATGTTATTTCATTTCCCTCCAATGTTGTGTGCATCTGGAAACATGAATTTGGAAATTCAGATTTATATTAAATAGTATCTGATGCTATATTTCATTTTGTCCTGCAAGATAATTTGTTTCATTTTGTCCTGTAAAAGAATTTTAATACACAGAATCAGTAAATTAACGACTAAGGGAGAAGATGTATTTGGAACATACTAGTTAAAGACAAAATATCTTAATTGTGAAATGCAATTACCAGCAGACAAATAAATTTTTCCATTTTCAATTTATCCAGTGGCGCATTTCATCAGTGATGTAAAGGCTGAAACAGAAGTGATACCAGCAATTGATGCAAGAAGTATTTTATCTTTATTTTTCTACACCCTAAATTGCAAAAAGAAATTATTGCTACTTAGTAAAAAGTTTGAAGTTCTGTTACTTTTTTTTTCCTTCTCCGACATACTATTTTCAAAGTCTGGGATATTGTGCTAAAAAGTCATTCAAAGGGAAAAATTAACTTTCTGATTTAACTTGCAAAATATAGTTTTAGAAATCTATTAAAAATCAACCTGAGTTTTCACAGTAGCATCAATTTTGCAGTATCTTATTAGAAAGCTCCTGAAATTTCTAAAGCCACAGAATTAAGCTTATAGGAAAAATGTTACTCATAGTTCAGTGAAGTGTCTGAAGCTTTACATTTCAGTTCTCTGTACTGCAGCTACTCTATTGTGGATAATTTGGGAAAGCATTTTTTAAGGGTCAGAGCAGAACAATAAAAATGATGATTTTTTTTTTTTTTTCTACTATCATAACTTCATCATTATTGTATCTGTTGAGATATTTAATACGATTCCTGGGAAAAAATCAGTGCATGAAATGGATGTATAAAGGAAATACTCTGTAATTGGCAAGGGCAAAAGGGCGGATGCAAAGGCATAATTAAATATAATAAAATACATACAACTGGCAGAAATTTATTGTTCACTACATTTTAACGCACACAAATATAAAATAATGTGAAGTAAGAAAATTAGTTGAATAGAAACAAACCATGAAGTTTAGCTGTCATTCTGAGAGCTCTTCTGTCTGATGCTGTAATGACAGAGTGAAGAATTGTTTTGACTTTCATTCCCATATCCTGAAGAGTTGAGAAAATTGCATTTAAAAGAAGCAAACAGATAAATTGTAATGATCTGTATAAATTTATAATTATTTTGTCCTATGTGCATTGGTTTCTAAATGTTGTAATGTAGCTGATCTCCACTGGACTCCTTTTGGTTGATGGAGGCAGAGAGAAAGCTGCTTTCAGCCATCCATTGGAGGTGAAGTTGGGTGCTTATATTAGAGGAGTCTCTGTTTCTGTTCTGCCTATACAGAGACACAGGAATGTAGTACAGTAAAAGGGGGAGGCAAAGAAAAACCTTGCAGCAATTTTCTGAATCAGCAGGGGAAGTGCTAAATTTTAGGCATTCTGCTGAAGTCTGTAGGTTTAGTCCCCGTTCTGAATGGCATGGCTAGGAAGACACTAATCTTATTCGCTGGGTGGGACCAAATGTTTGTCTTCTGTTGTAATACGTTCAGACTCATAGAATAGTTGAGGTTGTCAGGGACCTCGGGAAGTCATCTCGTCCAACCCTCTTGCTCAAGCAGGGTCACCTGGAGCAGCTTGGCCAGGACCATGTCCAGATGCCTTTTGAGTGCCTCCAAAGGTGGAGACTCTACAACCTCTCTGGGTAACCTGTACCAGCACTTAGTCACCCTCACAGTAAAAAAGTGATGTTAAGAGAGAACCTGCTGTGTTTCAGTCTGTGCCCATTGCCTCTGGTCCTGTCGCTGGGTACTACTAAGAAGAGCTGCTGGGTTCAGTCTTCTTTGCCCCCTCCCTTCAGGCGTTTACAGACATTAGTAAGATCTCCCTGTGCCTCTGGTCCTGTCGCTGGGTACTACTGAGAAGAGCTGGGTTCAGTCTTCTTTGCACCCTCCCTTCAGGCATTTACAGACATTAGTAAGATCTCCCTGAGCCTTCTCTTCTCCGGGCTAAACAGTCCCAGGTCTCTCTACCTTTCCTCATAGGAGAGATGCTCTGGTCCCTTAATCATCCTCATGGCCCTTTGTTGGACTCTCTCCAGTATGCCTGTGCTCTGAGGAGCCCAGAACTGGGCAAAGCATTCCAGGTGTGGCCTCACCACTGCTGAGTGGAAGGGAAGGATCACCTCCCTCAGCCTGCCGGCAATGGTTTTCTTAATGCGGCCCAGGATAGCGTTAGCCTTCTTTCTGGCAAGGACATGTTGCTGGCTCATGTAGATTCTTGCAGTACATCCCATGATATGTCTTGCCTTTTGTTTTGGAATATTCAGGTATTAACTTTTACTACCTGTTGAAAGCATTATGATTTTTTCTGCTTAATTGTTTGTTACAGGTAAGCTAGGTGCTTCTTAGATAACGTTGCTGAAGTATTTTGCCACCATTACAAAGGTATATTAGGTAGCAGTGCCCCTTATGTAAGTAAATGTATTATGCATTGTCTTTAGCCGAAGTATTCACAAAGGAAATCACTAATTAAACTATTAATAGATCCTTTATAAAAGAATGGTATGTGCTGGGATTTTTTTAATAGGAAATGAATGTAGGGTAGTTATTCTTGCTTGTTTGTGGAAAGATGCAACATCTGTTCTTGTAGAGTTTTGTTGTTTTGTCTCAGCATTTAGCTGAACCACCACAGTTAGTTTCTTAACTGAGGAATCACAGAATCCTTTTAACTTTTTTTGTGCAGTTGTTCTCAGATTGGGTTAGTTGGATTTGAGAGCATAGTGGTAGTTGGGTGGGTTTGGTTTTGTTTGTTGCTTATATTCAATTAACTTCTATGCAGTTAATAGAAGATTTTCAGTAAGAAAGGAGATAAGGAAACCCAATTCTATTAGTTTAGTTATCTAGAACTGGAAGATTATAGGATTGAAAAGGACATTAGAAATCAGTTGTTCATGCCAGCAGTCCTGAAACAGAATAAGTACCTTTATAGTATTTGCATGTCTAATATTCTGTAAATATTTTCAGTGAAGGAAGTATATATAATCTGGCAATGAGTTATCCCTAATAATTATTTCTGAGGATTTTTGCACTTTGACACCTAATCCTGTTGATTCCTTTCTTCTTTATCGCATCAGTGATGGAATGAATTTGTCTCTTTGTCATTGAGAACAGCCTCTGTGTTTGCAAGCTGTTATCACGTGCTCCTTCCACCTTCTTAATCCTAATCCTTCATTCTTCCAGTTGATCATGTCTTCTAGATCATTTATTTTCCTGGTCTCAAATGGGATTCTTCAGCAGCTTATTATACTTTGCAAATTCATGTTGGTGACTGTTAGTCTATAAAAGGTCTATGGTGAATATGAAAATATTTCTTCAGAAAATAGGACCACATTTCATTATTTGATATTGGTTGTATGTAGTAGATACTATGTACGCGTGTATATTAGAGTGTGCACGTGTGTATTTATATGTATGTGTGGAAGGGTGGATAAGGGGATGATGGATTGTTTTTATAACTCTGTTTTAAAAACCATGGCTAAAAATTATTTAGAACGGAAAAGGTTTTGGTTTTCTGTTTAAGAAAATCCTGGAAACTGGTTATTAACCCTTCACTGATCAGAATCTACACTGATGAAGTTTGTTTTTTCAACGTTGTGAATTCTAAGTTGCTTCCCCCCCCCTCTTTTCTTTGTAATTCACAGCTTTTGGAAATTAACTGGACTGGACTGACCAATCTTCTGGATGTTCCAGGACTGAAGTGAGTATATGTAAAGCAGTGTTTGATATTCCTCCTCCCCAGTAAACCGCAGAAAATCTGAAGACCATCAGCTAAATAATTTTAGGGTAAATGACTCTGAGCAGTTGTATCTTAATTTAGAATTATATGAAGTTGCTCAATATGCAGAAAGTAGTGATTTCACAAGTGAAAGTACATTAAAAGTGTATCTAGGAGGTCTTATTAAAAACATTTTGAAAAGATAATTTTTAATCTGCTTTTTTTAGTGTTCTCAGCCTTTCCAGATTTCCAGAATCTTGTGAATTTCCTATCTGCCATCTCCTAGGACAGCAGAAAGACAAAGAGGCTTATTTTTTATGCCAGTGGGTTGACAACATCTTGGCTCAGGGCTTTGCGTGCCAATATGTCTCTAAGTGCTTGTGTAAAGGTAGTTAGAAATACCTTGAGACAGTAATCAAATTAAATAAACTTTTCAATCTCTTCAAGTACTTGCTTTTAAAGCGTTCAGCTTATTATGTGAAGATCAAATGGAGCAGCAAAAATATTGACCATATATAGATAGAAAAAATGCTTGGCTTATTCGGAGCTTTTCAAATAGTATGTGATAAAGCCCCAACAAAAAAAAAAAAAAACAGAAGCAGAGGTGAAAAACAAGCTGCTTTGAATCATTGCCATCCTAATAAGGCTAAATCAATGAATATATTCATAATTATCAAGTTGTAATAGTTACCCAGGGACTTTTAAATATTGAGACAATGGCTAAGGGGATAATGGCAGATTTGATACACACTTGAATTTTGTGTCTAGTGCTTTTATTGGATCCCATACTCTCAAGAGTTGGCCGACTCCAGAATTATCTTTTATTGTTTAAAAACAAGAGTTTGAATTTATGTATTAAATTAATCCTTCAGTGCTCAATTGTGTGCCTGAAACGGTTCTTGCTTTACTTAGACATGTGAAGCCATTGCATGGAATCCCGGCTGAACAGTTTGAAATTAGAACTTGCATTAAGTAGGTTAATGAGTGCAAGAATTGCTTATGTTTCAAGGCTGCTTAAGACTGCCTCCAAGGAAAGAGGTTTTCTTCATCAGTGAGAAAATGGCTTCCAAAATACAGCTTCTGAGTAATAATTTGCTCTTTTGACATAATGCTAATAAATTTACATTTAGTACTTACTTAGGCTCCTTAGATTCATGTCATGCTGCATATTTGCCTGACTGCAAACACAAAACGTCAGATGTAAACAAAGTCTGGCTAAATATCTCAAGTTTATGGTTTCCAGAGCAACCAAGCTTGGCCGCATGTGCATATAATGGTGCCATCTAGATGTGATATAGTTTCTATAGTAACTGTGACTGAGGTGACTCATGCTCTGCCTTTCCAAGAGATTTCTTCAGTGATGTATTTGTTTTTCTTATCTGTATAGATAGATTGTATATTTTGGTACAACAGCTTGACATATTGTAGTTGTTATAAACAATGATGAACAAGAGATTGCTGCCGCCACTAACCTTTTTCATCCTGCGGCTGTGGGCTGCACACTAAGCTACTTACTGGTACTCTGTTTGCAAATGTCTTCTGCTAAATGAATTTCTGCATTTGCTGCTGGAAGTTTCCCTGTCAGCCGTTAACAACTTCCATTGCTCTTCGTATATGACTCCACAAGGAGAAGAAGACAAAAGTAATTCATATTCCATCGTATTCCATTCCATCCATGGGGGAGTGGAATTAAAATCTTTTATGTGAGGAGGAGCCGGGCTGTGAGAATGTTCAAGTGCTGTCAGGAGGGGATGTGGATGATGGGAAGGTGAATTCTGTTACGGTTGCTTGAGATATAGTAAAATACTCTGTGCAGTCAGGGATGTGCTGTCTCTGCAGTATGAAAGAGGAACAGGAAAAATACGTAGCTGCTTATCCTGTCACTAAATAGAGAGCAATGCAACAGAGTAGGTAACTGCCAATTATTTTTCTGCAATGAAATTGAGCTTTTGAAGACATTTACTGTAATATACCATCTGAAGCATTTCACACTTCTCTCATTTTTGTGAACTGAAAAAGCAATTTACTTAGAATCAATGACTTGGAGTTTTACGATCATAAGAAGCTCTTTATTGATGATGCATCAACATAAGGGTTTAAATTGACACATATTTCTCTATTGCTTGATCAGTGATTTGTCTCTGTTTTCCATAGATCAGAGCTCTTAGTTTCAGTAATAAAAGAAAAAAAAGATTGTCATTTTTGCCTTGTGGTCATGAAGAATACTTTCCAGCTAGGATCATCCCAGTTGGCTAGTGTTTGGTTAGATAAGTTTTAAACAGCTTGAAAGTGTCACGTTCTTTTGGAATGAATTTAATTCATTATTTAGTTATGATCTTTGGTATTCTTTTTCAGCTCCCTGTTTTTAAAAACAGAATATCTGCTACCTCCTATGAGTCCAGTTTGTGTAAAATTCTGTGAAATTCCATTAATGCTGGTTCATTTTTCATACTCATTTCTCAGATGTTTGAGGGAATTCAAGCATTTATGTTGGGATAAAATTGTGAAACTGAGCTTTGGAATCACAGAGTTGGGGTTTGGTCCTAGTATAAAGGATTGCGAACCCTCCAAGTGACTGGGCTCTGTTCTGCTTCAGGCTGGTTCTTATTTAAGGAGATCTCCTGTAGCTCCACTTGAACATTAATCAGTATCTGAACCTTTTGCTAGTCTAGGGTAGGTTTATTTTGCCTATAGCTTATTTCATAATGTATACGACCTTAACTAAATACTAGAGAAGAGCACGATAACCTTTCTTCCAAGGCAGCTCAGGTCCCATTGCCTCTCTTGCACTGCTCATTTGCTTTCTCTGACCTAGGTCAGTTAATTAATCGTATGTTCTTAAGGCGTGGGCTTTACTGAGCATAAAGGCAGAGCTTTCTCATCTTGCCTGGTAGAAACACTAACAAAAGCATGAACAAAACAAACTTATCTGGTCTCTTTACTGGAGATTCATCCTCCGACTTGCATTTTGGAAAGTGTGACTGTTCCTTGGGTAGTGACCGTCATGTCAGCTTTTTGGTTTTCCTTTTAATGTTAAGACTGTTTGAGATGTTTATCTCAAATTTTTAAGTCAACTCTAACAAAATAATGGGTTCTATTTTCTTGGCTCATTTTACAGAAAGTTGAATGTACGTAAGTTGAAAAATGTGATGTTTAGCAAAACTACTGAGAAATTTGCAAAGCAACATGTGTTACCATGACTAAAGGAAGTTACTTATTTTCAAATAAAATCATTACCTTGTAGTAGTTGTCTGAAGAATTACTGAAACTGTAAATGTATAGGATTCAGTGTTCATGACGAATGAAAATCTTTGTAAATATGTCTGGATAAGCTCTGCAAGAAAGGAAGGGGAATGAAGACGATTCCTCTTTAGGACAGATGTCAATTAACTCACAGAAGTTGCGAGGAAACTTTTCCTCTGAGCAATATCTTAACATTGTCTACCGTTGCTTCTTTCAGAGAATAAACAGAGGTCTGCACAGACCTGTCCATTGATCTTGATGCAGTCTTGAGTTTCTTCTGTTCCTATTGTACTGAATGCCATTAAAAAGTCAGCCGTGTTCTATCATGTATCATAGCTCATCTGGATTTACAGTGGAAGTGGGCAGCCGAGGGGATGTGGGCTGTACAGGTTGCAAATCTCTGGCATGAAAGTTCAGTGGGAATTTGAAATGGCCCAGATTGTATTTAATGGGTTAAGTCTGTTACCCATCTCTACCATTATATGTTTATTGCTCAACATGAAATTTTCTTCACAAATTAAAATGTAATATATATTACATTTCACTGCAGCTTTTGTGTTTGTATGCTTGCTGCTGAGTCAGAGCTACTCCCAACTGGAGATTGATTCTTAGAGAAACTTTACAAGGTGATGACACACAAGTGCTTAATCTGAACACTCTTCTAAATAATCAAACATTGTTGGCATCTTAATTTCATAAAGACTGTAAAAGGAGTATCATAAAGTGTATTTGGGAGAAATCATTCATCCCTGAAGCAGCTTCACTATCTTTTGCGAGAGTGCATCTGCAGTTCAGAATATCGCAAGTATTTTTATAATTTTCTCTCTGAACCTTTGTACATACCCCTAAAATCTTCCTGGATACTTGTCTTCCATGGTGAATTTTACCACTGCAGTTCTGCCTTTTTGCCAGTGTAGGCAATGTGTGTAACCAATGGTGTTGGTTTGTTGTCACTTCAGACCCAAACTGGGTAAACTCGTAGCCTAGGAAATCTTCTTTCCTGTGTTTGTGGGGGAGTATGGGGTTGGGTTTTTTTAAGTGATTCATTACCAGTGTGATTGTACTGCCACTCCCTTTTTGCTAGAACAAAACCTGTTTTGCTTCCCTAGGCTATATTTTACTCGGCCATGAGCATGTTTTCTTTGTTTCTGTGCTCAAGAGGACAACATGTTTCATAACAATATGGGAATGGTTACCAAATTTTCAGCGACAGTTAAATCATTATTGAAATACAAAAGTCGATTAATAGTTAACATCTGCATGTTTACATGCAATGCAGGCAAGAAAACTTATGCAACAGCCTTTTATCCTGGGTGGCTTTAAAAGCTGGGGGTAAGGGGGGAAATGAGAACTTTATCTTCATCTCTGTGGTTTCTGCTGTTCAGTGTCAGCTGCTTCCACCTGGTGGCCATTTTGGCAAGAATCCTTTATTTTAAAAAAAGTGTTTAAAAACCCACATGTCTACCTCCCCAAAAAGGCAAATGTTTCCCCCATTTAGGTTGTTAAGCAGCAAAAGGAGTATATTACTGCGACATAACGTGTTTAATTCTCAAGAAGTAATTGAGGATTATTTTCTCCAACAGTGGCTTATCAGATACAATAATATTGGATATCATATCCAACTACCTGGTTCTTCCAAACAGAATTACAGTCCCTCTTGTCAGCGAAGTGCAGATTGCTCAGTTGCGGTTTCCTATACCAAAGGTACGCGCGTTTCTGTTAATACTAATGATTTGGCATTTAGTTTTTTCTGTAGTAATAACTGTTAAAGATATGCACATCTGTGTGAATTTCTAAATACAGTTATTGCAGTAATACAAGTTATCATGAATCCAGTCACTTAAAATAATTGATATAATTTATAAATACTTTCTGTGCAGTTAATGTTTCATAATAACACCAAGAAAGATTTTTTTGTTTTGCTAGAATCTTAAACATATTACTTGTTAAAATATAGTTCAACTGTATAGACTAAAAATTAAGTAGCACGTTTTATATTATCACTGCAAATTATTGTCAGTGCTCTTCCCTTGGAAGTTGTTGCTACTTATTGCTACTTGCTTCCAGGAGGGTAGCATTTCTTGATATAACTGGCATGTTTCTGGTTGTTGACAGTTTTTCTTTTCAGGAATCTCTTCAGTGCTAAGTCGGCTGTGTATCTGGATCGTCATTTATATCTCTCCATTTACAGTGTGTTCACATTAAGTTTCATGTTAAAGAAATCACAATGGAAATTATCAAACACATATATTGCATAAATTGTGATGGCACGGAGCCTTTCAGATTACTACATAAACTCATCTCTTCGTTTTTCAGGGTGTTCTAAGGATACACTTTATTGAAGCTCAGGACCTGGAGGGGAAAGATACTTACCTAAAAGGGATTGTTAAAGGAAAGTCAGATCCCTATGGAATCATCCGTGTGGGCAACCAGATTTTCCAAAGCAAGGTCATCAAAGAAAACCTCAATCCAAAATGGAATGAAGTTTATGAGGTATAATGAATAAAAATACCTTGTTGTGCGTTCTGTAAAGTTGTCTTCTAAAGTTTCTTTTGTTAAAGAAGACACTCTGGAGACTTCTTTGAGAAGCTTCTTCGTGTCTCCCTCTAAAAGCCCAAAGTTCTGTAACAAAACAGAAATTCTCCATTGAAGTATATACTGCTTTTGTCTAGACTAAGCATCAGTAGTTCTGAAAAGCAGTCTAGTCTCTTAAAGCCACCATTAGCAAATCACATCTGAAAAGCTCTTATACTCGTTCTACTCATTAAATTGCATATTTTTTTTAAAGCATTTCCTTATTGATATGTTTGAATACACAAAGGGACTGTAGTGTAATGTTTTACTGTTACTATGCCATTTAAAAAAGCCTGTTAGTTTTACCATTGACAGTGCCAACTTACTGTACTTCCAGGCCTTAGTATATGAACATCCAGGACAAGAGCTAGAGATTGAGCTCTTTGATGAAGATCCAGATAAAGATGACTTCCTGGGAAGGTAAATGTTATGGCAAATATGCTTGTAGGTATTGAAAAAAGACGAAGTATTTTGATGTAATCTTTTTTTTTTCTTTTTTTCCTTTTTGCATTTTATTGCAGTTGTAGTTCTGCTACATTACTATATTTCTAAATTCATTATCTTTTCAAATTGATGGTAGTAAGCAGTTCCCTAAGTACGTCATATATATGAATATGTGTATATAGAAATGTGCTTGTGTGTGTATATACACATCTATATGTTTACATATTTTTTAAAAAAATAAGGTAAGTATTGTGGGTACCCAGAAAAAAACAGATTGTTTTTTTGTAGTAATTGTATACCCTACCTGCTTTCGTAAGCAGCACTGTCTTAAGTATTTCTTCAGGCAAAGTCAATTTAGCTTTATAGCTGTGTATCTTCTTCATCTTCATAGTTTTCAAATGGCTGTCTCAGTTTATTTTTTCTAAGAGCTTATCTTAACTATTTGATTAAAGAAAAAAATTTGCTGTAATGCTTTCGCAGACATTACTCACTCTTAGATTCCATAGGCCTGCCTTTAGTGTTTACCCATAAACATTTCAGGGTTTTAGTCAGCTTCTTTCTCCAGTAATTTGTCACCTTTATTTCTTGCAGAGTTTTGGAGCTTCCCATTGTTGCTTTCCATACAGAGTAGAACTCCCTTATCTTTCCAGCTCCTTCTCTCTTAACAGGAGCAACAGTACCTACTTCTCTTCTCATTAAAATAAAGAAGTAGGTAGTACGAAGGCTTCTTTTCTTTGCGCTTCCCTAATCTTACACTGAAATGGTGGGGGGGGGAAGTGGCATAATGTGTACATCAGTACTAATAAAATAAAAAGCCACAACAACTGTTCGTGCACTGGCATGCAGTTCTCTGCCCTGTTTAATTTTTAGCAGATTCCCTGGTACGTTTCTAGCTTGTGTGAACTAGCACTCCAGACAATGCCAAAGCATGAATTTGGTCATAGCATATGTCCAGGGGCTATTTCCAGTGGGTAATTTGGATGTAGTCACTGCTCTGAGAGTTTGGTCATACGTATGTGAGCCATATTGTGCCAGTTGCCCCTGTAGCTATGAAACGGGCTCTAGTATAGGCAATTTTCTGTTATCCTGCATTCATATTCGTTCAGCCATTTCATTCCCTACTTCTTGCTCTCTTAGGGGCTAAAAGAATAGTGTTCTGCTCTTTTTGAACTCAGTGGAAGCCTGGATGCTCAGCAAGCACAGGGTGGGATTTGCGTTCTGTATTAAATTTTTTGCTTCTTGGCTAAGATACTGATTTTTCTTTTGTTTTCTTTTTTCTAGTTTGATGATAGATTTAATTGAAGTTGAAAAGGAGCGTCTTCTAGATGAGGTAAGTGTTCTGTTAATTTTGGTTTAAAAAACCCATATGTTGTATATGTAGTTGTTCTTGTATTATTATTTCCTGGGGATAGTTCCCGTATGTGCGTGAATAACCTTAATGCTATAGAAATAGATTCCTTGATGATCAGTACAGTGTTTTAAGGGCTATCTGAATTGGTGAAATCTGAAGAAGAATGCCATTCTTCTTCTGTCTTGGGGTTTTAAGATTACTAGTATGTAAATGCAAAAAAACCCCAGTAACTTATATATTTGATGAGAGCTTTTTCTTGCAGGAGAATAGTTAATTGCCCAGTTTAACTATTATTAGACTTAGACTAATTTTTGTCCTATACGTAAGAGAGATTGTTATGAGATCTTATGTATTGTTAAGAAGTATGTTGTGCAGGATTTGTATTTCCAGAACATCTTTACAGAACTTAAAGAATTCTTCTGGTATTTTAAAAATGCATTTACTATATAACAGAGGTTTGTGTGGCTGTTTTTGTTATTCTGTGTTGTAATATTTAGTCTGGAATAGGAAATTTTAAACAATGAATCAGATTTTCTTCTGCTTATGCACACTTCAGCTCTACAAGATTTCTAATCAAGTTTAGCATTTCCTAAATGTCCTGAAGAGCCAATTGCAATCATGTATTTATTTGTTGTCAGATTATTTCACATTACTTTGCTTGACTTTTAGTGGTTTACTTTGGATGAAGTGTCCAAAGGAAAATTACATTTAAAACTGGAATGGCTCACATTGATGCCAACTGCTGAAAATCTAGACAAGGTATTAAAGGAACACATTACTTCTATCCTAATCTTAATTGTTGTGGGGTGTTTCTTGTTGTGGGTTTGTTTGGGGTTTTGTATTAAGCATGTAAGTAATTTAATTCTCTAGCTGTTGTGAATTTGGATAAACCTGTAACTTTATTCCAACCTGTTTGTCTTCAGAAATCTTAAACCAGTCATAACTGTCAATGTACTCTTGTGGCATGGGATTTTTAAAATCCTTTTGTCATCCTCTTCTTTTCTTTTAATGTTATGTCTTGAGAATATCAGCTGACATTTCATTAGCCTGGGAGATAAAGCTGGATTTGATATTTTAATCTGTCCAATCTAAAAAACATAATTGTGAAATGGGGTGGAAATTTCCATAAAAAAGGTTAGAAATATTTATACGAGTCTTGAAAACTTACTACTTAGGCTTCTTAGTGTGCATTTGTGAATGTTTGCATTTTGGGAGATGTTTTTAAAATATTTTTCAGGTATGGGACAGAAATAATAATACTGTTTGATTTTTAGAAAGGTTTACAGTATGTTTTTGGTTTAGGTGCTAACAAGCATTAGAGCTGATAAAGACCAAGCCAATGATGGACTTTCTTCTGCATTACTTATTCTCTATTTGGACTCAGCACGAAACCTGCCTGTAAGTTATATTCTGATGGATACCCTTTTGTCATGGGTATCCCCTGCATACTTCCAGCATGTCTTGCTTGGTAGTATGGCACACTGCTTTACTAACACACACTATGCCAAGTTTTCTATACTTTCTCTCATTTCAAGACGTGTAATGTAAGGTCCACAAGTCTAGTAGTATAGTATTATAGATATATATTTAATAAAACATTATTTTTTATCAGTGTGATTTTTCTTTAAAGAATGCTCCTTTCCTGGACTTGAAAGGCTGCATGTTTTTATTACGCAGTGTTTTCCATAAATAGTATGGGATTAGCATGAGGAATTTTAAGGAGCTAACTGGGAAAAGGCCCACTTCCTTCAGTTCAGGTAAACTTGCTTTCGTTTAGGGTATCTGTGGTAGATTTGAAGGTATTGAAGACCTCATCATGAAATTAATACTGTGCAGTTGATGTTACAGTGGCAGAATACTTGTATGAGATCTCTGTCAGGTTGTCATTTGGAGTATTGTTTATTTGCTTTTGCAAAACATAAAACCAAAAAAAATTCATGGTTCTGTCACTGTATGGATTATACAATGGGACTGTGAAATAGCTTGTTTATGACAAGCACAGACTGTTTGCTAGTTTATTTCAGGTTAGTAAAGTACTGTTCCTGGTTGTAAATGGTAGCAGTGATAAAGTAAACCCTACCATAAATAGACATGTGAAGCATAACACTGAGTTTTGCTGTTTGTCAGCATTGCTATTAGATGAGAAATTCTGGAAGTGATGACTAAAATACTAATCCAGAGAATAAAGTTTTCAAGTTTCAAATTTTTTGCATGCATTTTAAAATTTGCCCATTCATCTTAAATTTAAGTTAAATGCTGCATCAAACAGAGTGGTAACAAATGAAAGCTTAGTAGCCTAAACAATTTACATCACTGACTAGTGATTTCATGTCTGTTCCAGGGTGTGTAGAGCAGCATTTGGAAGTAATATTTAGAAGTTATTTTAAAAACTAAAAGATGTAGCTCATTTGGAATAGAGCCCCGCATTATCATTTTAACCTCACTGTATTGAGTTCCGAGGAACTCTGTAACGTAGCAGAAAAAATGTGGAATTACTCTAGTACAGAGTAAGCAGAAATAGAATAGAATTATGGTGTGCTTGACATCAGTTTCAGAATGTTGCAATACACAGAAGAAGTCCGTCTGCCACCTCTTTTGTGCACTTGGATAAATTGAACCCATTTCTGTATTTTCTTGTTCAACTACTGGATTTTACTCAAACTGTTACAAGTTTAATATATTTGTTAAAATGCACTAAAGCCTCTTACTTAAAATGAATAGTTTAAAGTTCTGTGATCCACAATTTCCATTTTTTTTCCATACAACTCTGCTTCTCTGTGTTAGATTAGGTTCTCCAGCAAACACTTGGAGGCTTTTTTATAAGTTTAGTTTTTTCCCTTCCTGTTTTAAACAAATATTCGGTAACGTTTTCTCCCTCCTTCAGAAAAGTTAGGCTGCAAGTCTTGAGTTCTACCTACTTTTGGGGACAGTATTTTAATTTAAATGTCTTAATCAGTACTTCTAATCAGTAGATCTCTAAACTGTAGGGCACAGAAAGGAGAAGGGGAAGTTCTTTGCACAGTTAGGAAATTTGGGAACAGGATCCCAAATTTGTTATTACTGTGTCTGATGTTCTGTCTATAGTACAAGATTGCCTGGGTGGGTTGAGAATAAGGATGGGTATGGCGTGGGACCTGTTTAACCCTCATTTTTCTTGCTCTACGAGCCCAGAAAAGCAGTTGCTACAAATCTAAAAATGACTCAGTGTTTAACTTCAAGTAATTTTCTTTTCAGAAATATGTAGAAAGTTACACTGAACACTTGAAAATTCCATTTACAACAATGAATTTAACACAGTATTGTATTATTTTAAGTTGTCCAAAGTCAGATACAGAAAGGCTTCACAATTAGATGCAGGGAAAAATATCATGGGAAGGCTTCTTCATGCAGGAGAACTGAAAAGTTTCCTATAGATTATATAAAGACAGTGCTTAGATAATGTCATGGAGCTGCTAGACAAACTGCAGTGAATTATAGCGAATACAGCTTCTTTATGTCCATTTAACTCTAATATGGAACAAGATTTACAAGACTAAAAATAAAAGTCTGCTGGCTTCTCATGTTGTGTTTGTATTCACTGATAGGTGTCATGTAGTGTAATAGCAAAATTAATTGCTCTTTTGGATTGCTTGTATTTATGGGGAACAAAAAGTTCAAAGAGAATGAAGTATTAAAATTACACTAACCCTTCTTAATAGTTTTGAAGACTTTGGTCCCCAACTTCAGTGTTACAGCTGAAATATTTTTTAGATGAGTAAGTACTTCTTATGATGTTCAAAATGGATTTCTTAAGTTAATGCTTATCACTGGTACATTTTAGATCTTGCCATCAGCCTCGTTTTGTTTGAGTTATAGTGGATAATTCCCAGCATAGGCATTTCTTTTGCATGGATCTGTCATAGTTGTGGGTTTCTGAGACACTGGGATGATTAATCTGAAATATGATTCAAGTGCAATAGAAACAGTGTAGAAGGCTGGTCTCTAAATTTACATAGTTGGGTCTGCTATATAAATCTGAACTACCAAGAGTAAACTTGGAATGTGGATTATTGTATCTGAATAATTAATAAAAAATAAAAATCAAAAAACTTTTCACCTTGCTATACTACAGAAAGTCATTTAACTGATGAAACTATTTGTAATGACAAATATTTACTTACTTTTTGTTATCTGCTGTTTTCTCTGGAATCCTTTGACTGTTTTCCTTAACTTTTTTGTGTAGTAAAGCTGCTTATGCATTCATTCTGCCACAATCCCATCACTCTGCTTTCTCCTTCCATTTCCATCTTCCTAAGAGTATCTACGAGGGAAACTTTGGGTGTGGATACTTAAAAGAGAGGAGAGCATCGGGACTAGTCTTTTGTGAAAACACTACCTCACTCTATAGAGCACTATTTGTGAGTTCTCTGGTATTATTTGTATTGTACCTTTTATCTGCCAGAGTGTGGATTAGTGCTACTAAAGCCACTCACTCTAGTGGAATGAGAGCATGCAATTTGTTTTGCTGCATGGTTTCAACAAGTGTGCATTGTTTTTGTGCTATTTTTATTGCATTTTAAAGGCTACTTAAATTTCATTGATCAGCATATCATTGGGTAAGTAATTAACTTTTTATGATAAAAACCCAAGATAAGTTTGTTGTAAAAGCTCTTACATTTGACTTAAATTGCTGATTCGTTGGGAAATAAAATGCATACTCTACTAGCACGCTGTGTGCTGGTGAATTGTTGGCTTTTATTGCAAAGAAATTAAACTAATAAATATTACAACCAACATCCCTGTAGTTTCTTTAAAAGGTGATGCACGAAGTGTTTGTAAGAACTTGCAACCTCTCCACACTGGTTCAAGTATTGCTTTAAAAATGGGTGTGGTTCTTTGTGCTCCCCAAAATATGAATTCCCTTGTAAATTCTATTTCACTTCATGATGCTCCTTGTTTTGCAAATTCCCAGGCTCCTTTTCTTTTTTTCAAATTAGTCTGTAGTTGGGAAAATCCAGGCTAGGGAGAACCACCAATTAATATTTTTTGCTTGAATTTAATGTTACAAGATTATTACAAACTAATGAGCCTCTGAATCGCTTAGTCTTAAATCTGTAAACACAACCTTGTTATCTTCAAAAAGAATGAGAATCTGTTCAGAATAAGAACTCTTTTGCCAGAGGGAGGTGGGCATGCCATTGTGGATTGTGCAGATAAATTTGTTGCTGGCTGGCTACTTGTGGCTCACATCACAAATCTCGATTTAGAAACACCTTCTCCCCTGCCCCCCTCCAAATCCCAACAAAACCCATTTCTGTGATCCTTTCAGTTAATTTCCCTAGAGAAGTTCCTTGTAAAGTATCAATAAAGTTAGATCTTGTTAAAATGTAATGAATAAGAAATGCAGTTCATAAGCTATGGTTCAGTTATTTTGGTATTAAGACTGATAACTAAAAGAAACAGCAATTATTTATGAAAATGCTAGATAGATCCTAAAAATAATACTAGTTTTTAAAAAAATCTAAATGCTTGTTAAAGATTGTAGCCCTGATGTTTGTGTTGATCTCAGGGTCTTTGCATTAGGACACGTTGTCTACATGTGAGAGCATCTATTCAGACATCGCACAAAACTTTCCAAATCCCCAAAGCGGTTTGCGAGTCGGAGTGAAACAGCAACTGTTTTCAGATAGCCAGGTCTGGATTTCGTTCAACAGCAGTGTAAACTGCCTTGTTCTGCTGTTGGGTGCTAGTCTTGCAGCAAGCAAGACGACGAGATTTATGGCTGGAGGCTGGGAGAGAGGAGGGGACTGTAGTAGCCCAGAGGTAATAACAGCTTCAGCAGTCAGTGCACCTTGTTTTCAGGGCATCTTCAAACGCGAGGTATTACACACACATTCACACCTGCAAGTTCAGAGACCTAATTGACATGTAACAGGAGTTACTTGGGGAAGCGGGAGCGGGGGGATTATTAAAAAGTGGACTCGCTGTATATAGGGAGAGGAAACTCCAGTGCCCTGAGTGCACTTTGTTCCTTTCTAGACAGTTTTATTGGCTGCTGGGAACCTAGATTCATGACACCTAGTTCAGACATTTACCCATTTAAATCTGATTTATCTGAAGTTAAGGAGTATGAAAGTGTTCTTAGTGTAATTTCTGAAAGTGAGTAATACGAGTTTTATGATACATTAGCTCATAACACTTTTTTTAATTTAGTGTCTATACAACATATAAATTATCCATATTTTAAATCAGCTGTTACAGATTGGGGACTGTCTTCTGGTCATCAGTTGAGGATGCACTCAGATTTAGAAAGTTCTAAAGCCCCGTTTTAACCCCAAGCAAGACTTAGTGAGTCAAAAGAAGTAACAAGTTGTACTCCAAAGCATAGTGAATTAGGATCTGGCTTAATAACAAAGCATCTTGTGGTGTAATTTATGGGTTTGTTATTAGGATTTACTGCAACAGTTGCTGGCTGTTACAGAGTGCTAACCTGAAACCTGATTCCACTCTGTCAGTTATCAATATAGTTCTTGGATACCTGTCCCCGTTTCCTATAACTGCAGAGACACTCAGAACCGTAGCAAGACAATTTTGTCACCCAAGGCAGGACCTTTTATTGGCTTTTTATATTGAATACTCCCTTTTCTTCTCCTAGTCTCCTCCCGCCCAGCCTTTCAGCCACCATCCTCATGGACCTGCAGCTCCTTCCCTTGAAACCTGAAGTCTGGCTTAAACATATTTGCCCCAGCTGATGTCCCTCTTGGCCTTTCCTTGCTATGATTCCAGAGGAATTGAGACATGTTCAATATCCAGGAATCATTGGTTGCCTGCCTTTATAATTGATCACATAGGTTTGTTTTTGACTTTTAAAATTCTTTGAAATAATAATACAGGGGGAAAATAGATGTGTACTAAATATGCAGGTGCAAATGTGGAGGAAAGATGGCCAGTAAGTTGAGGAGCAGTTTAGGATTCAAACTATTCTTGATGAATTGCAGATATTCTCTGGAAAAATAAGGTACTTTTCCATAGAGGTTATTGCACCCTATATATTTATGGGATGGAAATAGCTGTCTGATGGATAGCTCTACAGAAACAGATCTGTAGTCTTGCTGTATCATGCTGTTATGAAAGATAAACACCGTACTGTATATAGAAACAGGAGTATAGCCTGTAAGATGTCCGTGCTAATCTCTCTGGTCTACTTAGCTGTTACTAAGGCCCCAATTTTGGCCACAGCGATTTAATATCTGGAAGACGGCAGTGATGATAATGAGAAAGCCAGTACATGTGACTAGCAGAGGAAGAGGAACTAGGATGAGTTTAGCCTTAGGAAGTAAAGGTGGGGATGGAAATGATAGAAGGCTGCTGCAAACAACATGACTTTTTCACGGCTGTCAGAATTCAAGAAAGAGTGCTTAAACTCCATCAAGGAACATATCTGTTGGGCATTAACAAATTGCCCTAATTTTCTAATTTTTCTAATGAAAAGAATACTTAAACATTAGGATTGATACATCTAGGGATATTGTGCAGTCTCCATCTTTGAAGGTCTTTAAGTAAAATAAAAGTCCCAAACATATCAAATAAATAGCTGTGGCAGATTCCTTGATTTTATTTTAAGAAAAATAATGATTAAAAACAAAAATCCCACAAACCCAGCCAAACCTTATTTCTGGTTTTCTCCAGTTTCATCATGTGGTATTTTCATTCTGAAATAGAAATGTTAAAGCGGAATGCCAGGGATCTCATCATATGTATTGGCCAACTTCAGGATATGACATTCCAAAAGAAAATGTAAAAATGTGTTTCTGCACAAAGGTTAAATCTCTATTCAAATTTTAGTCACTTTGGGATTTGAATTTCAGGAAGGCATTTCTTTTGGCAGAGCATTAACAGTGTTGGTTCCTGTTCATAAACCAGCATGTTTAAAAAAGCCATTAGGCAATTTTTTTGTTGCCACACACTACAGCTTTTACAGCAGAATTCTCCCTTGAAACAAAAATCTGTGCTTGAAGAAAAAGCCAGCCATAAGTCTACTAACTTGAAATCTGTTTTATTTCAAAATCGTATTTCCTGAAATTATTTCTTATGAGTTGAATGCAAATTTTCTGTAATATTTTTGTACTTTACATGTGTCACTTCAAGGACAATATGTTATTCTTAAAATAAAATGGAAAAATTTGCTTAATTAATGGAAAGTAGTCAGAGGTTTTGTCCTGCTAAATCAGTTCAAATTCCTATTGTTAGTGTATTTGCATGTCTTCATTTGACTGAGTAAAGTAGTAGACTTTCGAGTTAGCATGCAGTATTTGTATCATTCATCTGCTGAAGAGGCTCAAATGACAGATTTTTTTAAAATTATCTAAGTCCTATCGATACTTTTAGCATAGTAATTTCTCCCATAAAAAGACTCCTTTGCATAGTTATCGACTTACCATAAGAGAAGCTTCTATGTTGTGAAAATAAATATACTTAACCAAATTTTAAAAAGATTCATTCAGAAGGCAGTCCGTAGGACATCAGGCATTCAATAAAACCTATTTTGTGAAGTTTCTATATTATGGTTAAAAACCTGCCAAGGGAAATATAAGTGCACTGAAAGTGAGTATAATATTTTTAAAGCAGAATACGAACATTCAGAGAGGACAAGAGGGGGAAAAAAAAAAATTTGTTGGACTTTTTTTGTTGTTGTTGTTGTGGTTCCTTCCTTGTTTTGTTTGAAAGATTTTTGGGGTTTCTTTAGGTTGATTTTTTTTTTTTTCCCCCCACTTTGTTCTATGTTGTCGTGTCATAATTAATTAACCTAGTGAAATTGCTTCATTGCATGACTTACTAACCCTTCCTATGTTCATTCTCTCCTGACTTAAAAGCATAATCCATTAGAAATTAACCCTGATGGCTTGAAGAAGGCTGCTGTTCAGAAAGCCCTAAAGGTAAAACTAATATAGTTGTCCATTTAAGGTCACAAAAGAAATTGGAAATTCACAAATGCCTGCAACACTCCTCTTCCTACAGTGGACGGAATTTCTGTTACCAAATACATATTTAGTGCAATTCCATTTTACTTAAATTTGGTTTCAAGAAGAGGTCAAGACTTTGGTAAAATACTGTGGTCTGTGGGAATGTGAATTTTAGATCAGTTGAGTGGAGTATAGACTACTTTAGAAGACTGGGGGGGAAATTAGTCCTGAGAACTAATATGTAGTAGTAACTAAAGAACAAGGCTGACATGAAAGCTAAAACATCTTTTACGTACCGAGTGATAGTTTATTGGTCAGCTCTGAATGACTAACCGATAAAATCACACTCTGACATGTTTTGAAATAATCTTGTTTCTGCTAGATGTTTTTAGAAGGCTTTGCATCTTTTATATAAGTGCTAAGTAAATTTAGCACAGCTTTTTGATATGGAAGACATAGAGTTGAGAGGCAAACTTGGAAGGGACAAGCCAAGTTCTAAATTGGAGAAACTTGGACAAGAGGTAGTTTCTAACAGACTGTCAACAGCACATCTCTCAGTGGCAGGTGTTAGAGGTACGTTGTAAATGTGTGTACGTATTGCTGCCTATTTAGCATGAATTAAGATTATTTATATTTACACATCAGCATAAGCAACAAGGGTCTTTTTGTCAACATCTGTAGTTTCATCATTTTATGAAGAAAAGGGAGGTTGGGGCACCTTTTAATGAACAACCAAAAAAATGAAACAAATTTCACCTACCACTTTTACACGCCATCAGTTGGAGTGTAGTCTGACTTTCTGTTCCTAAAACCTTTGTATTCTATTGTCTTTGAGAGCTAAATATTTTTGATTAGAAATCATGAAAAAAAGAAATGCGGCATTCATCCAAGAAAGGAGTGCTTTCTTAACAGCTTTTTTTCTAAAGGAAAGTGTGTCACATTAAAGTCAAGTAACATGAGTGGAAGTATGGTGTATAAAATGTAAGTTCAGATCCCAAAATACCTAAAATACGCACATTCTTAATTTAAAAAAACAAAATCATTTAATCAATTGTTTGTAATTGTGACCTTACATGCATTAAGTAGATTTTAACTAACTTTCTGTTTACATATCTGATCTGTACAATTTCCTACATGGTAGAATTCAAAGTATATTATTAACCATGTATACTATATTTTCTAGGCCTTTTAAACTGTGTTAATACCTGCTTGAGATGATTAACTTTCATGTCTAACTTTTCTTTCTGATTTAAATATTTGTTAGGTTAATTTAAAATTTGTGAAAGATGTAGTTGGGAATGTTCCTTTGTGTATATAATTTGTTTCTAAACTGATGTTTATTTTCACAGTTTGATGTAATGCTAAACACCTGGTGAGCAAGGCTCAGATATGGCAGATGGTTGATTCTCTAATAAAGAGTATTTGGTAAACTGTAGAAATATACATCAGGTACATTACAGTGCATCTTCTTTCTCCCCAAACTCAAAAGGGGGGAATATAAATGTTCTGATAGTACATGCAATTTAATAATACTACCGCAATGCAAATGAAGTAAGCTTCCCGAGTTTATACTGTCTCCATATCTCCCATCTGCATGCAATATTCATTTTGCAGTCTTAACTAGGCTTCATTAGCTTTGGGGGTCTTAATGCTCATTAAAGGATAAGAATTTGCTCTTTACCAATTTCATTCAAAGAAAATGGAAAGGAGTCTACAACTCCTGCTTATTTGTAGCGTTTTGTTTCAGCATATTAAGGGTAATTGGATGCCTTCATGTTAAAGTGTTCACAAGTTACTAGCCAGTCTGCCATTCAAGCCTGTTGAATAAAATACTGAGAATACCAGATAAGCATATAGTAGAATGCATATGATTTGTATTCTTAAGATGCAAACATTTACGTTTCAGAGGAGAGAGGTTTTGCTTTATTCTGAAGGCAAAGTTTTTGCTTTTTCTTTATCAGTCAGGAAAGAAAATAAACAGCAATCCCAACCCACTTGTTTTGCTGTCAGTTGGACATAAGGCACAGGAAAGTAAGGTAAGTTCCTACTCTTTATACTTGGCTCTGTCTACAAATGTTTGGTGGCTCTGCATGCTTGGCATTGGCTATTAAGCCATTGAGCATATCCGCTGCAGTAAAAGGTACCACCAGAACTGAAATTGCCAGCAAGAAGCCAAGGATTCAATGGGTGCTTACTCCATTTAAACTGTCTGTGAGGAGAGACCAGGTTTTTAACTATTTGTAGATGTCCTTCCACGGTAGGTTCTGATCTGCAGCTGGGATTCCTACAGTAGTGATTATATAAATAACAGTGTGGGCAAACAGCAGGCTTCAAAATTCTGATCAAGTTTTGAAAATTTACAGAATCACAGAGTTATAGAAATGCCACAGTCAAAAGGGATCACTGAAGATCATCAGCTTGAACCTTCTGTTTAAAGTAGAGCCTTAAATTAGCCAAAGTGCTGTGTAGCTCTCAGGAGCTTGTAGTTTAGCTAGGCTACTCTTGTTATGGCTGCTGCTTTTTCTGCTTTGAGGTATGGCCTACTTCTGTGCTTTGAGAAGGCTGTCCTCTAGCACTCCCGAGCTCTTTTGCACTCCAAGGTAGCCACTCATGGAATCCCTTATAACAGTTCCTAGGGCAAGCTGAAATCTGCTTTTCTGAAGTCCAAGGCTTTTATTGTAGAATCATAGAATAGTTAGAGTTGGAAGGGACCTGAAAGATCCTCTAGTTCCAACCCCCCTGCCATGGCCAGGGACACCTCCCATTAGACCAGGTTGCTCAAAGCCCCATCCAGCCTGGCCTTGAACACCTCCAGAGATGGGGCATCCACAACTTCCCTGGGCAACCTGTTCCAGTGTCTCACCACCGTCAGAGTAAAGAATTTCTTCCTAATATCTAATCTAAATCTACCCTCTTTCAGTTTAAAACTGTTACCCCTGTCCTATCACTACGCTCCCTGATAAAGAGTCCCTCCCCATCTTTCCTGTAGGCCCCCTCTAGGTTCTGGAATGCTGCTATAAGGTCCTCCAGAGCCTTCTCTTCTCCAGGCTGAACAACCCCAACTTTCTCAGCTTGTTCTTATAGGAGAGGTGCTCCAGCCCTCGGATCATCTTTGTGGCCCTCCTCTGGACTTGCTCCAACAGGTCCATGTCCTTCTTGCGTTGGG